TAAAGACCTCTGTACTGCACAATCTTTCCAGTAATATTTCCATTTGTCTTTTCCTGTTATTTCTGTACTCGCTTGTACGTGGCACTGGAAGTAACCTACAGATTACTACATTACGTAGCACCATGACGAACAGGTGCCCAGACTTCTGAGGCAAGTAAACAAATTTGTTTATTTAAGTAGGTGGAATACCTGCAACTGCAAAATAATATAAATGCACACTTCTAATAGTTAACACTGAAAGAAATTGCCATTTGGCTTCTGCTCAATGGATGCAATGTGCCAATCAGACTACTCACAGGTACCAGAAATACAAGAGGGAACATTGGTTTTGTGGCACTACTATTGTGCTAAATAGGATAGATGCCAAACAGTGTTACAGGCTTTTCAGGGTGAATTTGCTAGTTCCCAAGCATTTTGAGCCCTGTCATTAATTCAGAAGTGAAGCTATTCTTTGGGTGGCACGGTGCTCAGTGGTTAGTACTGCTGCCTCACAGTGCCAGGAACCCAGGTTTGATTCCCCCCTTTGATGACTGTCTGTGTGGAGTTTCCACGTTCTCCCTGTGTCTGCGTGGGTTTCCTCTGGGTGCTCTGGTTTCCTCCCACAGTCCAAAGATGTGCATCTAGGTGGATTGGTTATGCTAATTGCCCATAGTGTTCAGGGATGTGTAGATTAGGCGGGTTATAGGGGGATGGGTCTGGGTTGGTGCGGACTTGTTGGACCAAAGGGCCTGTTTCCACACTGTAGGGATTCTATTTCTTGATAATTGCATAAGTTCAGCATATTTCACCACACCCCACATACAACACTTGGACAATGTTAAGTGGTAAGCAACACCTTTTCCAAATATGTACCAAAGAACATCTCCAAGAAGACAGAATCTAACCATTTCCCCTTGATTTTGCAGTAACTCCCACTATCAACATCCATCGATCAAAAACTGAACTGGACCAGCCATATAAGTACTGTAAGGCAAAAGGGGGTTCAAAGCTTGGAATTTTCAGGAAGCTTTGCATAAAGTTAGAGGCTATTGTTTAAAATCAATTCATTTGGGATTGGTGGTAATATACTGGCATGGATTGAGAATTTGTTAGCAGACAGGAAACAGTAGGAATAAATAGATCGTTATTGAACTGGAAAGGAGTTAATAGGTGGGGCACCTCATGGTTTGGGCCCCAGGTATTCACAATATATTTCAATGATGTGAATGAGGGAAACATGTGTAATATTTCCAAGTTTGTTGATAACACAAAACTAGGTGGGATTGAGAGTGTTAAGAAATATGGAAAGGGGCTTCAGGGTTATTGAGACAAGTTGAGTGATTGGTCAAATGCACGGCAGATGCAGTATAATGTGGATAAGCAAAAGTTGTCCGATGAGGTGAGAAAAACAGAATGACAGAGCATCTAAATGGTGATTGATTGGGAAATATTGATAAATAAAGTGACCTGAGTGTCCTTGTAAACCGGTCATTGAAAGCAAGCATTCTGGTGCTGCAAACAGAAGCCAAATGGTTTGTTGACCTTCATTGTAACACGGTTTGAATACAAGGAAGTATTACTGCAGCTGTACAGGGCTTGGTGAAACCACATCGGAACATTGTGCAAACTTCTGTTCTCTTTACCCAAGAAACATACTTGCCATTGAGGGGACCAGAAAAGGTTAATTAAACTGATACCTGGGGTGGGAGATCTTCCAAATGAGGGAGTGAGTCGACCAGGCCTGTATGAATTGATGTTCAGAAGAATGAGGAGGGAATCTGGTTGAAATATATAAAATTCTGACAGGGTTGAAAGACTGGAGGTAGGGATGATGTTTTCCTTAACTGGGGATCCAGAAAAAAGGATCATGGTCTCAGGATGTGTGGTAGGTGATTTTGGACTGAGATAAGGAGAAATTCTTCATTCAGAGAGAGGGTGGTGAACCTGTAGAATTCTCTAAAATAGAAGGGTGTGGAGCCGAAGTGAATGAATATATTCAAGAATTACATAGATTTCTAGAGATTAAAGGTGGGAGAGTGTGGGAATAAGACATTAAGAGAGAGATCAGCCATGACCATGTCAAATAGAAAACAGCTCAATGGGCTAAATTTTTTTAATCATTCACAGGATGAGTCAGCATTTATTGGTCATCCCGAATGGGCAATAAAGATTTAACCCTCATTGCTGTGGGTCTGAAGTCACATATAGACCAGACCAGACAAGGGCAGCAGTTTCCTTCCCTAAAGCATATTAATGAACCAGATGGGTTTTTCCTGACAACCAACAACGGTCACAATTAGACTCTTAATTCCAGATTTATACTGAATTCAAATTCCACCATCTGCCATTGTAGAATTCAAACCCGAGTCTCCAGAAAATACCTGGGTCTCTGGATAAACAGTAAAGCAATAATATCACTAGGCCATCAGATTCTCCTTAATGGCCTGTTCCTTTTCTGATTTTCTATATTTTTACTTCTGCATTGAGTAACTCATCATTCGTTTCCCAAAGCCTATTCAACACCCACAAGTCAGGAATGTGATGGAATATTTTCCATTTACCTGGATGGGTGCAGGTTCAAAAACACCCAAGAAGCTCAACACCAACCAGGACAAAGCACCTGCATGATTGATTGGTACCCCATCCAACCTCTTCAATATTCACTCCCTTCACCCCTTCACACACAGTAGCAACAACGTACATCATTTACAAGATGCACAATTGCAAGCTTCATTGGGCAGCATCTTCCAAACCTGTAAGCTCCACCATCTAGAAGTACAAGGAGATACTTGAAAACACTCCCATTTATAAGCTCCTCTCTAAGCCACTTTCATCTTGACTTGGAAATACACCACCAGTCCTTCACTGTCTTTAAGAAAAATCCTTCAATTCCTTTCTGAACAGCATTGTAGGTGCATCTGCAACAGATATACTGCAACAATTCAAGAAGGCAACCGCCAGCTTCTCCAGAATAATTAAGGATAGACAGCAAATTCTGGCCTACATTCCGAGAAAGAATAAAACGCCTTTGTGAAACACTGGTTTAGCTTCTAATGGAGTATTGCATTCAATTCTGGCATCAGCAATTTCATGAGAATGGCTCTGGATCCAGGGGCAAGAGGATAAATTGGATATTCTAGGATTGCTCTTCTTCAAAGAAAGAGGGTTTGAGAGGAGATTAAGAAGAGGTGTTCAAATTCATAAGGGATCTAGACCGAGTCAATGAAG